AAACTGGTCCCAGTTTGGTGTGGTTCAAATTCATATGGGAACGCCAAGCGGACCAGAGACTGCTCCAAAAGCAGGAAGTGGACTACAGCACAGGGCATTCTGGGTAAATACAACCAAAGCTAACGTGTTAGCCTAGCACTAGCAGCAGAAATGGCTCCTGGTCTTTAGCCTAAAGAGAAATCCTCCAACCGCTAAAATCTGACGCCTCCATCTTGTTTCCATCTGGTGAAGCAGGAAGTTGCTCTCAGTGCCTTCAGAGGTTTTTGTGTCGTTTCCTTCAGTGGTTCTTGATGCAGCGCCCCCACAGGCCAGGAGGGGAACAGGTTGGTTTGACTCAGAGCCACAGCAGCTGCAGGTGGAGCAGATGTTCTGGTTCCAGTAGAACTGTTTCAATTGGACCATCAGGTCTTTAATGTCACAAAGTTCTGACGTTCCTGAACTGGAACAAACATCCAGAGTGAAAAGTAATGAAAACATGATGAATCAGTTTATCTTGTTCAGGATTTTTCACTCTGACTCTTTTATTGATATGAATATTTAAGAAATTAACTTTCCATTCTGAACCAGTCGCTTCATCATTTTGTTTGATGAAGTGACTAAAAATAACTTTTCCCAGATTTCTGTCAGTTCTTCTCCTCTGCAGCCTCCTGCTGTTTGCTCTGTTCTCTTATTTTTATTTTCTGTCTCTTCTTCCTTGTTTCCATCCCGTCGTGACGACATGTTTTCCCTGTCGTCTTGTATAAGCAGCCTTACCCAGAATCCCGCTGGGCGTCAGCGGGGCTCACACGGCGTTGAGCTAACGGGTTAATCATGGAGGGCGAGGTGACTCGGTTCGGGTGAGCGTGTCTGCGTTTGACCGACACTCGCCCGCTGAGTCTCCGCTCATCGATTAGTCTGGACTGACGGGCACGGCGCCTCCAGCCGGGCGTCTGATTGGCCGGCCGCGGCGAGGCGTCTGATTGGCCGGTCCTCTATGGACCTCGGCTAGACGCGCAGCCTCCCGTCGACAACACTCGGACTTGACCTTTGAACCCATTAAGGGAGCGTTTCATACATATTAACGTGTTTATTATGGGCAGAGACAGAGTGGCAGCCGGAAATAAACCGGATTTCTTCTGCATCCCTGAGTTTAAATTTCAGATGAAGCTTCAGCTTTAGGAGCTCAATCAGAAACATTTCACCTGATGCTTTTATTTTATGACTCATTTCATCAGAAGACAATGAACATCCAGGATATGTCAGATCTGTTTACCAAAGCTGATGCATTCACTGAACCTCAGGAAGTCTCTCACTAATGGTTTAAATTATATTTTAAAATAGTAAGAAAGTATTTATCGCATCCCAATGTGGCAAATTGTGCAGCTCAATATCAGCTCTATGAACACGGAGGACAGATTCAAGATTATTTAGAAAA